TCCGGGTCACCCGTATAGGTTGCATCCCGACGAGGTCGAGGAAACGACCGTAAGGGGTTCATCCCGTCTTGAGGGGACACCCCCAAAATGGTTGGGATTTTTTACCAAAAGCAAACTGATGCGCATTAAAAGGAAACTATAATTCAAAAACAGGTTTATGAGAAACAAGCTGAAGTATTACTTCAGAGATTTGTTGAAAAGGGCTATAAAAAGACATAAACTATGAAGAGATTTCAAAGAAGTAGCTAGAATGGAAAGAGATGATCTTCCTAAAAACAAAGGAAAATGAATAAGGAATTAATTATGGTTTTAATTTTTATTATGGAATATTAATCGACCGCAATATAAAAAAGATGGAAAAAGCCATGGAGAAGCAATGGGCCTTCTGTTAGGAATAGGACTGGCCATGCAAATGGTTGGGACTTTCTCACCTGCCTTTTGATGTCATGCAGTACCAGGGCTGGCCACGCGGGTGCGCACAGCAATCCTGTGACTCCAACCTTGTCAGCCAGCTAACACCTGGGAACCTGATGATCCTGGTGGTTATTTAAGGGATGGCTCCACAGGATCTTGCAGACTCTGCTGCTTGGTGCTTGTGTTTGTCCTGGCCCGCTGTATCTGTCCTGCATCCTGTATTCGTTCACTTGGCTGACCCTGATCATAGATACTGCTGCTGACTTCTCCATGCTCTGATCTGGCTTGTGACCCTGAACCCACCCCTGCTGTCGGACCCTCTGTACCTCGCTGCTGGCTACCTGCTGAACCTGGCCTGTGACCCCGACCCATTCTGCTGCTTGCTTCCCCCGTACCTACCTGCCAATTTGAATATTGAGACCAGGGCCCTGCCCGGACGACGCTTGCTTGTATGTACTGTAGTATCTGGTGGAAGTGGTTGGTTTGAATTGGTTTGTTGACACTGTATTATGTTGAGTATTGCCCTTTGCGTATTATGTTTGTAGTGGTTAGTGTTAATAAATTCTATTGGTGTTATCACATTTCTGATAGTCTGCTGTTTCCCTGACATCGTCAAGTCCACATCTCTGGGTCTCATATGTACTGGGAGCCCTGACATTACACCAAGGCCCATCCTGACCAAGAAGTGGCTGCACAGGGGGAAGCCATGCTTGGCTTGTGGATGGAGAAGGCATGGATAGAGATGAGGTTGAGTTATTTTATATCTGCTAGGTGTTTGATGACAGGGAGTATGCTCTTATCAAATGACTCAGATGTAAGAAGCAGTTTCCCAGGGGATGAACTGCTAGAATGTACGTACGGCTCGCTCATGTTCTAAGTAGATCTAGGGGCACAGTGTTCTCTGAGGTGCAGCCATTGATTGTGGTTGTGCTGAGTTGGTTTCATCTGGTTCCCCGAATGCAGGATGAATTTTTGCACCATTTAGTGTCAGGACAGGTAGAGAGTCCCTGGTGTGGTTATTAGAGGATGATGTGGGTTACCTTTTGGAGCGTTACTCCACATGTTCACGCACAGACACTAAGAGATTGTTATCAACGCAGTGCAGTCATTGACCAGACAGACTTTGTGTAAGCTCAGCTTTGTTAAAACCCCTACTGCAGACATGGACAGATTATGTTGCGACCCAGCCTCAGTCAGCTTACAAAAGACCAGTCTGCTTCTAACTCTACTCCTGTATTCCCACCAGCTCCTCCTGCCCTGCTATCTACCGCACATGTCAGTACCCTGTTCCCACTCGCTGCACCTATCCTGCCTTTAACCCTGTAAAAGAGCCCTCTGTAGCAAACTGCTCCCCTCTCCTGTTCCATCCTCCAGTTTTTCTCTGCTCTCCAGCTGCTCCATTCGTTTGCAGACCTGCGTTTCTTTACTTGCAGTGCTCCAGTAGTTTTAAACCAGGAAAAAGCGATGAAAAATTCTTTCCAACAAATACCATCCTGCCAGTATCCAAACGGTGAGCTGCCTTACCGTGACTCGGCCTGAAGCCTCTACTCAGCCTGAAAGCCTCTACTCGGCCGGATGCCCTCTCTTCAGCCGGATGCCTCTCTTCAGCGGATGCCTCTTTCAGCCTGATGCCTGCATTCAGCCTGATGCCGCTACTCAGCATGATGAACTGATCCAGCCGCACGATCCTATTAGGCCAGTTGACTCGATGCCCGCTGTTGATCAGATGATCCGGTACCTGATCCAGTGCCGCTGTCGTGCCAATTGACTCAGAGCCCGCTGTCATACCTGGTGACCCGGTGCCCACTGCCTTGCGCAGATGACGCGGTGCCGCTGGCAAGCCAAATGACCTGATGCTTGCTGGTGACCCAGTGCCCGCTGTCATACTGGTGACCCGATGGGCCCGCTGTCAAGCCAGACGATCCAATGCCTGGTGACCCGGTGCCCACTGCCTTGCCAGATGAAGCGGTGCCCGCTGACAAGCCCAAATTGACCTGATGCCTGGTGACCCAGTGCCCGCTGTCATACCTGGTGACCCGATGCCCACGCTGTCGAGCCAGACAATCCTGGTACCTGATGCCCCGGTGCTCACTGTCGAGCCTGTTGAACTCGGAGCCCACTGCCTTGCCAGATGACGCACTCGGTGCCCGCCGTCGAGCCAAATGACCTGATGCCTGGTGACCCAGTGCCCGCTGTCCAGTCAGACGATCCAATGTCTGACCCAGTGCCCGCGGTCATACCAGTTGACTCGGAGCCCACTGCCTTGGCCGGATGACGCGGTGCCGCTGTCGAGCCAAAATTGACCTGATGCCAGGTGGGACCCAGTGCCGCTGTCCAGTCAGACGATCCAATGTCTGACCCAGTGCCCGCGGTCATACCAGTTGACTTGGAGCCCACTGCCTTGCCAGATGATGCGGTGCCCGCTGTCGAGCCAAATGACCTGATGCCTGGTGACCCATGCCCGCTGTCCAGCCAGACCGTACAATGGTCTGACCCAGTGCCTGCGGTCATACCAGTTGACTCGGAGCCCACTGCCTTGCCAGATGACGCCCGGTGCCCGCTGTCCCAGTCGACCGATCCAATGTCTGCCAAGTGCCTGACCTGACTCGAGCCCACTGCCTGATGCGGTGACCCGATGCCCGCTGTGACCCCGGTCAGGACGATCCAATGTCTGACCCAGTGCCCGCGGTCATACCAGTTGACTCGGAGCCCACTGTCGTGCCTGGTGACTCGGTGGGCCCGCCGCTGACCGCCTGGGGGCCCGAGACCTTGTTGCTCCGCTCGTGGGGTTCTCCAGCGCCCGCCGCTCCGCCTGGGGATCCGGCGCCGCCGCCCCGCCTGGGGGCCCGAGAGACCTGTCGCTCCGCCTGAGGGCCCGAGACCTGTCGCTCCACCTGGGGGTCCGGCGCCCGCCGCTCCGCCTGAGGGCCCGAGACCTGTCGCTCCATATGGGGGTCCGGCGCCCGCCGCTCCGCCTGAGGGCCCGAGACCTGTCGCTCCTCCTGGGGGGTCCGGCGCCCGCCGCTCCGCCTGAGGGCCCGAGACCCTGTCGCTCCATCTGGGGGTCCGGCGCCCGCCGCTCCGCCTGAGGGCCCGAGACCTGTCGCTCCACCTGGGGGTCCGGCACCGCCGCTCCGCCTGAGGGCCCGAGACCTGTCGCTCCGCCTGGGGGTCCCGGCGCCCGCCGCTCCGCCTGAGGGCCCGAGACCTGTCGCTCCGCCTGGGGGGTCCGGCGCCCGCCGCTCCGCCTGAGGGCCCGAGACCTGTCGCTCCACCTGGGGGTCCGGCGCCCGCCGCTCCGCCTGAGGGCCCGAGACCTGTCGCTCCGCCTGGGGGTCCGGCGCCCGCCGCTCCGCCTGAGGGCCCGAGACCTGTAGCTCCGCCTGGGGGTCCGGCGCCCGCCGCTCCCGCCTGAGGGCCCGAGACCTGTCGCTCCGCCCTGGGGGTCCGGCGCCCGCCGCTCCGCCTGAGGGCCCGAGACCTGTCGCTCCGCCTGGGGGTCCGGCGCCCGCCGCTCCGCCTGAGGGCCCGAGACCTGTCGCTCCGCCTGGGGGCCGGCGCCCGCCGCTCCGCCTGGGGGCACGATGCCTGTCGCCCCGCCTGGCGGGGGCACGATGCCTGTCGCCCCGCCTGGGGGCACGATGCCTGTCGCCCCGCCCGGGGGCACGATGCCTGCCGCCCCCGCCGGGGGCCGGTGCCTGCCGCCCCGCCCGGGGGCCCGGTGCCTGCCGCTCCGCCCGGGGGCCCGGTGCCTGTCGCCCCGCCGGGGGCCCGGTGCCTGCCTGTCGCCCCGCCGGGGGCCCGGTGCCTGCCGCCCCGCCCGGGGGCCCGGTGCCTGTCGCCCGCCCGGGGGCCCGGTGCCTGTCGCCCCGCCCGGGGGCCCGGTGCCTGTCGCCCCGCCCGGGGGCCCGGTGCCTGTCGCCCCCGCCCGGGGGCCCGGTGCCTGTCGCCCCGCCCGGGGGCCGGTGCCTGTCGCCCCGCCCGGGGGCCCGGTGCCTGCCGCCCCGCCCGGGGGCCCGGTGCCTGCTGCTCCGCCTGGTGGCCGCTGCCTGCTGCTTCGCCTGGTAATCCGATGTGCCTCTCTGCCCGGAGTCCTGCCCGATGTGCCTCTGCCCGGAGTCCTGCCCGATGTGCCTCTGCCCGCGGAGTCCTGCCGATGTGCCTCTGCCCGGTGTGCCTCTGCCCGGAGTCCTGCCCGATGTGCCTCTGCCCGATGTGCCTCTGCCCGGAGTCCTGCCCGATGTGCCTCTGCCCGGTGTGCCTCTGCCCGGAGTGCCTCTGCTCGATGTGCCGCTGCCGGAGTCCAGCCCGGTGTGCCAGTCTTTGCTATCCCGCCAGTTGCCAGACCCGGGCGGTGGAACATTTTGCCCAGCTAGGACTGTTTGGAGCGTCCTGAGGCCGCTCCTTGAGGGGGGGGGGTACTGTTAGGAATGGACTGGCCAGCAATGGTGGGACTCTCTGCCTTTTGATCTGCAGTACCAGGGCTGGCCAGCGGGTGCTCCCAGCAATCAGAGACTCAACCTTTCAGCCAGCTAACACCTGGAACTGATGATACTGGGGTATTTAAGGGATGGCCAGACTTGCAGACTCTGCCTTGGTGTTGTGTTTTGTCCTGGGCCCTGTATCTGTCCTGCATCCTGTTTCTGTTCCTTTGCTGACCCTGATCTGAACTGCTGCTGACTTCTCCTGCTCTGATCCTGGCTTGTGACCCTGACCACCCCTCTGTCTGACCCTCTGTACCTCGCTGCTTGCTACCTGCTGAACCTGGCCTGTGACCCCGACCATTCTCTGCTTGCTCCCCCCGTACCTACCTGCCCAATTGATATTGACCCGGCCTGCCTGACGACGCTTGCTTGTATGTACTGTTATCTGTGGGTGGTTGGTTTGGTTTGTGTTTGCACTGTATTATGTTTAGTATTGCCCTGCGTTTATGTTTGTATGGTTAGTGTTAATAAATTATATTGTTTATCACATTTCTGAAGTCTGCGTTTCCCTGCATCAGTCACACATCTCTGGTCATACCTGGGAGCCCTGACAGCCTATCTTAATGAAAGATTAATATTATTATTATACAGGATTTATATAGCGCCAACAGTTTGCTCAGCGCTGTACATTATAATGGGAGACAGTACACGAGACAGTACAGTAACAATACAATTCAATACAAGAGGGGTTCGAGGGCCCTGCTCCTTGGAGCTTACAATCTAGGAGGGAGGGGATAGTGGTACAGGAGGAAATAGCTGTGGGGGATGGAGTGGTAGGAAGAGTGGAGGCGATCGGCAATTAGCTGAGGGCGGGGTAGGCTTCCCTGAAGAGATGGGTTTTCAGGGTGTGCCCAAAGGTGAGCAGAGAAGGTGATAGTCTGATGGATTGGGGTAGGGAGTTCCAGAGGATGGGGTAAGCCCTGGAGAAGTCCTGGAGACGGGCATGGGAGGAGGAGACCAGGGAACTAGAGAGTAGGAGGTCTTGTGATGAGCGGAGAGTACGTTTTGGGCGGTATTTGGATATCAGATCGGTGACGTCGTTTGGGGCAGTGTTATGAACAGCTTTGTACGTCAATGTTAGCATTTTGAATTTTATTCGTTGGGCAATCGGAAGCCAGTGGAGGGATTGGCAGAGGGGGGGTGGAGGATATGGAGTGGTTAGTAAGGTGGATGAGTCTGGCCACAGTATTCAGGATAGACTGAAGCAGGGATAGCCTGCGGTGAGGTAAGCCGGTGAGGAGGGAGTTACAGTAGTCAAGTCGTGATATAATAAGGGAGTGAATGAGTTGCTTAGTAACTTTTGGGGTTAGGAACGGACGTATTTTAAAGATGTTGCGGAGGTGGAGTCTACATGAGTTTGTCAGCGATTGGACCTGGGGCTGGAAAGACAGATTGGAGTCTAGGATGACACCTAGTACTCTGGCTTGCGGGGTGGGACTGATGGTTGGCGTTGTTGGTCGTGATGGAGAAGTCGGGGGGGGGCGTGGGCTGGTGGGAAAACTAGGAGCTCGGTTTTGGAAAGATTTAGTTTGAGGAAGTGGAGTGACATTCAATCCGATATGTCGTTCAGTAGGCTTGTGATACGGGCGGAGACTGAAGAGGTGAGGCGAGGGGTAGAGAAATAGATTTGCGTGTCGTCGGCATAGAGATGGTAGTTGAAGCCGTGAGAGTATATCAGTTGGCCAAGGGAGGAGGTGTAGATGGAGAAGAGAAGGGGCCCAAGGACAGAACCTTGAGGGACCCCAACAGAGAGGGGGAGTGAGAGGGAGGTGGCAGCGTTATAGGTAACACTGAAGGAGCGCTGAGATAGATAGAAGAGAGCCAGGAGAGAGCAGAGTCTCTGAGGCCAAGAGAGTGTAGTTTTTTGAGGAGGAGGTGGTGGTCAACCGTGTCGAAAGCCTCAGAGAGGTCGAGGAGTAGGAGAACTGAATAGTGGCCATTAGCTTTGGCGGTTAGCAGGTCGTTGGTGAGTTTGAGTAGGGCAGTTTCGGTGTAGGGGTGTAGGGTGTAGAGTGTAGGGGACGGAAGCCATACTGTAGGGGATCAAGGAGGTTGTTGTCGGTGAGGTGGGAACTCAGGCGATTATAGACTAAGCGCTCAAGGAGTTTGGATGTAAATGGCAGCAGGGAGATGGGTCCAAGGTTGTTCAGGTTGGTGGGATCCAGGGAAGGTTTTTTTTAAGCATGGGAGTGATGTGCGCATGCTTCAGAGGGGAGGGGAATGCGCCAGTAGGGAGGGAGAGATTAAAGATGTGAGTGAGTGAGGGAGCGTAGGATGGAGGAAGAGGGTGATCATAGAAGTTGTGAGGGGACAGGGTCAAAGGGGCAGGTGGTGAGGCGGGCTTCAGAGAAGACCTTAGTGACCTCTTCAGTGGTAGCAAGGTCGAAGGAGTGGAGTGTTGAGGGGTTTTTAGTGTGAGGAATGCTAGGTGGGTTGGAGGTCTGGGCAGTGGCGAGGTCAAAGGAGAGGAGTGTTGAGGGGGTTTTCGTGTGAGGGATGCTAGGTGGGGTGGAAGTCTGAGCAGTGGCGATGTCCCTACGAATTGCGTCAATCTTGTTTTTGAAGTGGTTAGCAATCTCGTGGGCGGTGAGTGAGGTACTGGGTGGAGGTGGGGATGGAGAGAGTAGAGAGTTAAAAGAGCCGGCGAGGACTGGAGGAGAGGGTATTGATGAGGGTAACAAAGTAGGCTTGCTTGGCAACGTGAAGGGAGGAAGTGTAGGTGAGGAAAGCAGATTTATATTGGGTGAATGCTTGTTGGGATCTGGTTTTGCGCCATAGTCGCTCCAGCACGCGACTGTGTCATTTGAGATTTTTGGTATGGTCAGTCTGCCAGGGTTGAAGTGGTCGGGGTCTAATGCTTCGTGTAGTTAGGGGTGCTAACGAGTCTAGAGCGGCTGACAGCGACTTGTTATAAACAGTAGGGGCCAGGTCAGGGCAAGACAGGGGAAGGATACTGTCGTAAAGTTGGTCAGCTGCAGAGTGGAGAGGGGCAGGGTTCAAGTTGTGGAGGTTTCGGCAGGTATTAGTTCAAGTACTTCCAAAGACCTTTGTATATAGACAGTTACCCACCTTAAGGGAGAGATCAGTAAAACGTATACCAGATCCTCCTACAAAAAAATTACTTTTTTGGACTAAGTAGGTTGTGGTAGGTGTCTGCCATGCAGGACCTGTAAAAGTAACAGAAGAAAGGCTACACAGTTTAAATCTAGGACTACAGTCAAGAAATATGAGATTAAAAGATTTATTACATGTAGCAGCACACATGTAACTTACCTCCTTGAATGTAGTTGTGGACTACATAAAGTAGGAAGAGCCACTAGAGAATTCAAAGTTAGACTGAGGGAACATATAAACAACATTAAAAAGGGCTTCTGACAACATAGTCTTTCCAATCACTTTAGAATTCATCATAAGGATCCAACACATTAAAGATTTTGTGGTATTGATAGGGTGGATAAACACTGGCGTGGAACTAATATGAGGAAAGCCATCTCTCAGAACGAATCCT